GTGAAACACTGGAACGGGTTGCCCAGAGAGGTAGTGGAGGCCCCATCCATGGAAACATTCAAGACCAGGTTGGACAGGGCTCTGAGCAACCTGATCTAGTTAGTGGTGTCCCTGCTCGCTGCAGGGGGTTGGACTAGATGACCTCTAGGGGTCCCTTCCAACCCAAAACTTTCAGTGATTCTATGATTCTACAGCCCAAAAGCAAAATGCTCACACAGAGTGTCACACAACTAAACCACTCCAGATACAGCTACTCACAGCAACTACCGCAGTAGTTTTCCTGATGAAAAGAGTATGTTTTGTCCTTAAAAAACCCAAACCAAACAAACCACGCACTACAGCAATGACTGATATCAAAGTGTTTGATAATGCCTTTGCAAACACCGGTAGCTAGACCACAGAAAGGAAAGAAGGGACTGACTTAAAGCAGCACCTTGTCGTTAACGCATTTCCATGGACACTGAACGGTCGTACCAGCCAAGTACAGCACTCAGTTTCCACATGGCTGCTAACTGTTGGTTCAGTGTATTTCATTTCACTCTGTAACCTTAGATACCTTAAAAATCTTACTCTTTTTTCTTTAAGTGATTTTTTAGGTGTTTTACACTCTCAGTTTCTACTGTATTTCCACTTTCCTCACCCTAATCTTCAAGATGAGTCTGAAAATCTTATGCTGTTCTAATTAGGGCAGTCATCAATTTGCTTCCCCCCTGCTCCCCTCTTCCAAAGGAACATAAAAAGCAGACACCAACTAATTGCATTTATCGCCAACTTTTTGAATATAAAAAAACCCCAAAAAAAGCCAAAACCAAAAATCAGTACCGCTTCAGTCTGAAACATACTTAAGGAACTTACCAGAGTGTCAACAATCAGTAAGTAAACACATCCCTAGCTCACGATATCTAGAAGAGAATAATTTTATACAAGAAGGAAATAAACTGTTTAAATCATAGCTATAACAAAAAAAGAAGTGACTACCTTTCCATATTAATTCCTGCTCTTGAACCACTAGATAGTATGGCAGTGAGAGCTATCTGCGAGGGAGTAAAGAGCAGATACGCATCTGTCAGAGCCACTCGATTGAGGAAGTCGTCAGCTGCTTTCCTCAAAACTTCAGGATTCTCCAGCACTGGATAGCGAGTCTAAAAAGTAAGTGTTTAGGAAAGTAACTGTTCCCCGTCTTCTGGTTCATGAGCTCAGAACACACAGTCCAACAATATTTCGTAAAGCTAAAAAGTAGCAGTCCATCTTCCTATTCCAAAAACAATCTAAAGTGCTTGAAGACCACGACTAAACTGACTTCCCTTCTGATACTTGCCTACCACTTTAGAAACTAGGTTTTTTAAGATCACAAGCACAAAAAGAAATAAAGTTTTCTGACACAACCCACGACAGATTCGTATTACATTAGTGTACAAAGTATGTAGCATATAAAACAATACTACCTTCAAATCGATTAGAAATCCCTCAAATGGCCTGTACGGATTGTGGACGATGAGATGGAAGTTCAGCTGCTGAATAAGCAGTAGTTCATATTCCAGTATTTGTTCAAGAGCTTTTTCCTGTCCAACAGGGCTTTCTCGAAGGTTACCAACAAACTGTGCACTGGACACATTGAATTCTTCTACTTTACAGGCCAAAAATGCGCATGTTAGCCTTGAAGAGAGGAAAAAAAGCAAACAATTGACATACACAGCACCCATCTTTTCAATCAAGAGTTCTGTTCAGAAAGTTTGTATCTTCAGTACACCATGTTCCAAACACAGCAAACTTTTCCAAATGAAAACTGAAAGTGGCCATACTTTGTCTTTACTCATGTATAAGCTCTCAGATTTCCTTTCTCATTTTTTCAAGTTTTTACAGACATAGAGATTACACCTCCAATGTTCTGCTTGACAGAGTAACTCAAGAAATGCCGGCAACTCACATTATTATCCGAGGATGATACTCCATCACCGAGTTATTGAGGTAAAAGCGTTTGAAATACATGCAAGCTGTTCCCTAAATTAAAACAAGCGGAGGGAAAAGTAAGTACAGAAGCAAAAACAGATTAAGAAAAAAACATAAATAAATCAAAAAGTTAGATCACAAAACAGACCAGGCAAGTTTGAACACATACTATAGACATGCAGGACACACAAAGGCACCAAGATCCACACAACGCCATGCCATTAAATATTTCAAAATCTAATACATTTACACCTGCAAGACCCTTACAAAATGGCCGCTTAGTTATATTTTCCACCACTTTTAGACAAATTTAGGAAGACAATGCTCAAGAAGCCTACAATATCTTAATGAGAAAAATATGAAATTTAAAAACCAAATATTGAAAAAATTACCCTGAAATTTGTGGGTAATCCTAGCCAAGACACCTGACTTTTAAAATCTGTAAATTTCCCAGTGTGTTTAACATTTATGCTTCTCTGCGTGTCTAGAAGTACTTCAGTCTGTTAATGCCAAACTTCCAAGCAGGTCTGCACACCACCGGCACGAAAGCAGGTGTTTTCCAAAGACGTTATTTGCTGAGTCTGACCCAGCACACGCACTCTGAAACGTAAGGTGTGGCTCCACGGAGCACGCAACGACAGCCCACTGCCGTGTTTCAAACACGTCCTCAGACACAGCACTCTTCATCCTTGTTAGCTGCCACATCTTCCAGGAAGAGGGAGAACTGACAGGGCACAATATAGGTTATACACCGTAACGGCTAGGTGACAAAAGCAGCACAGTTTCGTTCCCTGCTTCAGCTCTAAGTCAGCACTCTCTCTCTCCTGAAACGCACTCTTCTGTGTTTAAGTTAAATCAGTTCAAAGATTTTTTTTTCCCCCCTTTGTAGGTTATTTTGGTGGCAGTACAGGGCTTGAATCAGCTTGCTGTGCGGTTGGACAGGCACCAATGGGACAGCCACACGCCAGGGCTGCCTCCTGTAGCTACAGAATCATAGAATCATAGGGGTTGGAAGGGACCCCTGGGGATCATGTGGTCCAACCCCCCTGCCGAAGCAGGGTCACCTACAGCCGGCTGCACAGGACCTTGTCCAGGCGGGTCTTGAATATCTCCAGAGAAGGGGACTCCACAACCACCCTGGGCAACCC